CAACTGTGTCTTTACGCCCCTCCAAATCTTCGAGAGCTCAAGTTTAGCGTCACGCTCTACTGCGCGTGTTCCACACGTGTGCACTTTGATAGAAACAGTTTGACGAGTATCTATGTCATAAGTACGATTTACTCGGACCCAGGACATGTGAACCCTGGTCGAATAATAAATTTCAGTTATGTTACGAAACATTTGTCTCACGTTGCAGACAGTTCCCATACTGTACCAATGGAGAGGAATCGTCTACTGTATCAAAATGGTCGGTCTCATTCAGCACAGCATTTTTGGATACATGAAACATGAACTTTGGTTATTGAAAATGCTGTTGGTTCCGTTGTTGTATACCTTGTTCCTATTTGAGCAAACGGCATTACTTACTCGGATTGACCAATGTTTACATGGCGGGCATCGTCGATGAAACAGAAGACGATTACTTTTCCCGAACACCTGATCTTATTCTCCATGTACTTTTTCAGGTAACTCCGTTTAATTGTTCATTTGGGCCTCTGCACCGACGCTCATTTAAAACAAATAAAGTATCTCTGATATGTATTTTCTTTGTTTCCTTTTTCATTTCTGAAACAACAAAATCTAAAAAAATAAATTTAAAAAAAAAAGAGAAAATTTGCAGATGGTATATTTTTTCGATTTTGTTTGATATACGGTATGTGTGTTAAAGGACAATAAAAAGTACTTAAACAGATTCTTAAAGCAGCACTTTACATCAATATTTCAATGAACTAAAATATTCATTTCATACAATACAGAGACAGATACCTACTTTTAATCGGATATAACTTTACACGTTAAAAACGTACATCACACCCTTCATCGACAAAGTTTTGATAAAAAAAATCAACACGAATTTCTCAAAACAGGTTTTGAAAAATATATACATATTGAAAAAGCTTTTGGTTCGAGGAAGATTTTTGTGGAAACTTCACTTGATTTCTAATAAGAAAAAAACAAAACACAAAACAAACAAAAAAATAAATAGAATAAGCACATAAGCCATGGTTACAGTTAAAACCTTTGATGATGGCGAGATGGATATAAGACACATTTTTCATGTATTTGAAGTATTTGTGATGTTGTGCTATTATTGTGCCAATGATAGAGTGTGTTTGATAATACAATTTTTAGGGAGAATATAACTATAAGTTATTATACACAATAACACACTTTAACTTACTGTTGAGCAGTAGATTAATGTTGATTAAGTATATATCTAAACGTACATTAATATACTATATCAGAACACATCGGTAATCTCATTACACCTCATTACAGTGACAAAGATTCAGAAAAGTATACAAATGCATTTGTTCTCAAACAGCTGTTTGCTGTTTAAGTACTTACGACACAGAAAAAAGCTGACATTTTCCCTAAAACATTAAACCGTGTACTCATTCATGATGTACAACAGATTTCTAGTTAAGACATATTCCCGTTTTCCTTCTGTTAAACATATTTGTTCCCTATGCAATCAATATCTTCCCTTGTATATCAGCAACGTATATGTCTATAACAGATTATATGAACAGACCCTTTGTTTTTATTTAAACAGAAACACGAAGTTATCTCTATGGAAAGTGTAATGATTTCAGTTTTCCTATTTTGAATTTTCCATTTCTGCCGAGTAAACTACCATATCCTCAGCCTCAGGTATTTTCATGTCGTATCTGATGCCATATTTAGACATTTTTTGTCTCAATACCACGTTTTTCTTGCAAGATGTCGGCAACTGACAAGGCACAAGACTTAATGAGATGCAGGTTGATGAAAATGATGGGGAAATTCTACGGTCGTTATAATGACTTCAGTTGAAAATATTCAAATTCTCTATGTGATATGAATCTAGACAGTGTTTGATGCTCGTTCGCATATCTGTCGGTTCCATTGTTATTTACACCACTTATTTTGATTCACATACGGGTGTCGTCAATGAAGCGAAAGACGCTTGTTTTCCGGAACACCTAGTCTTTTTGCCGTTGTACTGTTTCATGTGTCTCCGTGTAAATTGAACTTATGTTCATACATTTCCCGAGTTTTATTGAATTTAATTTCGGATTATGATTCTGTTGACATATTGGTATTTTAACCACATCTGAAGCATTTCATACTTGGAGACAAATGATATTTATCTATACTGAAGCAGTGCCTAATTTATCTCGGTTTTACAACGTCACTTCTTTTAAACAATCAATATTACTTTTATTTGTTTGACACGATCTCACCGTTACCTAAAGTAAAACATGATTATTTAGAAAAATATGTTTCGCTTGTGACTGTAGACATATAACAAAAACCAAATGCACTGAATACCGTTCCTTATGTAAGCATAATGGAATGGTGAGTGTGGTTTAGACGAAAATTTTACATTAGATATTATGGTTGGTGTTTAAAACACAAAAGAAAGTAACATATTTTACATGTAATACAGTAACTGTCATTGTTTGTACTTGTTGACCTTGACACAAAGACATGAATATTCCCACAACGTCAAAAAATTATCATTGTTTTGCTTGTAACCATAAACAAAAATTCTACAACTAGTTATAACAAAAATAGATAACAGATATTTTTACTTATATCGTGTTCATATAATGTACTCTGGTTTTAATGTAAATTTTATATAGTACATGTAAATAGTAAATGTTCTTTACTGATTTCGTTTTCATCAGGAGTTATCACAACTTTCATTCATATCTTCATTAAATAAATAAGGAACCCAGATTGATGTGCTCTAGATTATGACGTCATGAAGACCAGTACATGACGTGTCCCGTGCCATTAAACATGTTTTAGCTTATTTTTCTGTTATTTCTTTTGTCTCATTAAAGATATAAATGATAATATGATAACTGATAAAAGTTCGTTCCGTATAAAAGAGAGTCTTTTCTCAAGTCCATGTTTCCGGAATTAAAACGTTGATTTATGTACAAAAGGTATTCAGGGTTTACTACACGATTTCCACAACGAAGACTGTTTCACAGGTAACGATATATTTATATATGTGTGCTATGTTTTCATTATTAGATAAATTGATCCTGACCAATAGTAGCAGACAGTACTCTATTGTGTTATATCTATATCACAATTTCTTACGTTGGTATCTATTAAGAAGTGTTTGACTTGAAAGAGCATAATATCACAGTACAGCTACATTAATTCTGTTATAAATGAAAATTAGCTGAAAGGAACTTGATGTAAAAATATATATTTGTAACAGTAAATTAAAGCAATCTATTAAACCGTGGACACTGTATTTCGGTAGGTACGAAAATATTTTTATAGAAGATTTCAAATGTGACTTGGAAAAAAAACACACACGGAATAAGATGTAATTCTACAAGTAAATTATATTCAGAGAAAAGACATATTAATGTTTTTTGCAAATTTCCGGCTTTGTAAATAAATCTCTTGATTGGCTTCAGACACAACAGCCCGGAGAATCCCGACTCTGCAAAAGTAACTTGTTTCGAAAGATGAAGGTGTTTTTTTTTGTGTGCATTTAACCTCACAATGAATCTATCATAAAAAATCGCAAATGAATTGGTAATGTAGACCTTGGATGATATGCAGTTATGTACTTATCTATAGAGTATCTAAGATTGTACGAAAGACCATGATACACGAGTGCAGAACACCATTAAATACAAATTTTGGAGTTGGATACAGTCAAGACAAACAATGAATTAAACAGTATCATACAGCTGTTTCGTCCTCAGTGTTGTAATGGTTTGAGATTTTCAATGATAGGAAGCGACTGGAGTGCATTTTATTTGTAAAACCATAGTGATCGAAAGAAAAGTCAAAACCTAGATGGGGAGGTGTACTAACCAAATAATTAAATGCATTTCGTAATTTCTATATAGAACAAAGTCAGACACAGGAGGACAGTTGGTCTACACTGGATTTAAATAAGTATGTTATAAAAATCACAGTAATCTTTTTTTGTATTTTTAATTTGGTTCTTTTTTTTCAGCCCTTAAGTTACTTTGTAACTGAAAATGTTCAAATAAAGATTGATATAATCTAAACTTGAGTATACAATAATGTTCTTCGCATTTTCAAAAAAAATACATGAGAAAAAATGAAAACCTACACACTCAGGGTAATCAGGGAGTTATTTACAATAAAAAAATGTTGTTAGCGTCTTTAAAGGCAATAAAGATGTCACATGTCACAAAATAATGACATCATCACTTCACAACGACATATAATCACGTGACGCAGTTGAAATCACAGACGTAGATAATTGTATGTATATTTGTTGATAGATGTTGATATACTTATTATTTTTTTCTTATCAAATATTCAATTAAGTCTCAGATATGTTTGTTCGCCAGATTGCCACGCGAATACTTTGTTTGCCATGAAAAAATGCCATCGTTGACAGGTTTAATAATTCCAAACGAGGCTCTACGTACAACATGATTACGTCATCACTTTATGCGGCGATCAATTCTATCACATATTGATGATGATTGAGTGTTTGAATACAGTTTAATTGAATTTGAGTTTGGATTATGATTGTGTTGACAAGTTTGGGGTTTTTTCTTGTTTAATGATATGGCAGTTTAGCTCTTCTATCAATACTGAAAATTCCTAACATACTGTATTAATATTTAAAAGGTTAATCACGAGATATTAAAATTGTCGTCTGGATGGAGATATCTCTATCTTAAAGATGATAGATATTGTTGTTCTTAGATGTGTATGTATAGTTTTATTATCGATCTAGCTTCTACTGTATGTACCGAAAAATGTATCAAGATCCAAATTAGCTGGTGAAAATGTTATATAGAAGTATAATAATTTCAGTAAAGATTCTTAAGTGAATATGCTACGATTATGTTTTTACGTTAGTAACGTTAGTTCCAGTTTTCAGGTAAAATCGAGGTCTATTTTGTCACAATATGAAATATCTTGCATCTTTTTCTCGACACATTTTTAGTTGCAGTTTCCATTTAAAAATGCATTATTCCATATTCCAGATGAAGCCAGAAAGCTGTATGTACAAAGATGTCCGCCCGGGAATGCAGGTCCGGAGATAACGATGATAAACTGTTTAACATTGACATCTGAAGAAATCAACAGCTTGGGGAAAAACAACCTGACATCGGAGTCTCAGTTCCGGATACCCCGAAAATGAAATCAAGTGCCTCTGGTTTTAAGTACACAAACCTTTATTTCACTATAACGGTTTGTTATTCAATAACTGAAGGATCAAACCTTATTAATAAATAAATTAACTGATATGACTAGAAAAATATTTTAAAGAAAAATTACACTTACACATATATATATAACTCGTCACACATGGTCCGTGAAATATACTTATTATAATTGATGTATTTAATCTATCATACGATAATTTTGTGACAGAAACAAATTTTAGATTACCCAGTCATGTTTATAGCAACAACGAATTAATCATCAAGACAATAACATATTCTGAAATGAAACAAATTAGTATAAACACAAACAAATGTGTACTATCTATATGTATATGTCATCATTTGGATTATTATGGTGTGATGGTAGGTAGGGGTCCTGATGGCACTGTTGATACATTACTTGATTTCTGTGTGATATAGATCTGTTGTGTCAATCGAAAGTGTAATAGACATGTGTATATGATTAAGTCATAGCATATTATTGTACAATATTATACAGGTGTAACATAGTATGATTTAGTTATAATACAGTATTGTAAGCTATACAGGTAATACTCGTATTGCATTGTGTGGTTTGGTTACAGTATCATATTGTACAATATATATTGTAATACCGGTATAGCATCGTATTGTCTGAAAATAGTACAATATTGTACAATATATATTGTAATACCGGTATAGCATCGTATTGTCTGGCCATGGTGAAATATTGTACAATATATATTGTAATGCCGGTATAACTTTGAATTGTCTGAAAATAGTACAATATTGTACAATATATATTGTAATTCTGGTGAAATATTGCACAATATTGTACAATATACATTACAATTATTGTGATAATATTATATTGCACAATATACATTACAATTCTGGTGAAATATTGCACAATATTGTACAATATACATTACAATTCTGGTGAAATATTGCACAATATTGCACAATATACATTACAATTCTGGTGAAATATTGCACAATATTGTACAATATACATTACAATTCTGGTGAAATATTGCACAATATTGTACAATATACATTACAATTCTGGTGAAATATTGCACAATATACATTACAATTCTGGTGAAATATTGTACAATATACATTACAATTCTGGTGAAATACTGTATTATCTAACTATTGTATTATATCGTACAATATACATTGTTATACTGATTTAACATTGTATTATCTGACCATGGTATAATACAATACTGTTCTATCATTATGTATCATATGATTTTGTAGTAGTATAAAATCGTGCATCACGATACATGTCTACAGGTATATTAATCGGTTTCCCATCGCATAAAAACAAATTAATTTCGTGTGTTTTGTTACATTATTATCAGTGAACGTTCTACAAAATTAGTGGTTATATTTGAGCCTCATTTCCATGACATTCGATTTTTGTTTTTCTTGTCAATTTTACATCTTCAGTCAAATATTGTTATATTATGCATAAAGGGGAATAACTCGTACTCTCCAAACCAAACGACAAATCAGTGTTTTAATAAATGTCTATATGATTGATCATATCATCAAATCAATGCTTTATCATCATTGTCGATACGTAGATTTGAATAGATCTTGTTTTTTTCAGGCGATGTGTAGTTTGTCGTCTTCATTTTGTATTAAACATTTACATTATTTGACAGAGGTTTAATACGATATTAACCTACAGAATAAATATATTCTGGTTACCTAGGTTTTTGTCATCGTTCCAGGTCTATCCCTTCCCCCTCCCTATATATCAGTTAACGACCTGGATAGTGCCCGCATTAAAGGTGACAATATATTTGACAATTAATGTATATGACTAAAAAGCGAAAATACAACACTGACGATGATTGAGGTTCTTGACGAAAGACCAACAGTATCACAGATCTATGGCAACGCAATGTGGTGTCAGTGGTGTATAAAAAATATACGTTTTTTTCTGCGCGACGCCCTTCAAGTTGACAAAGGGAATGCATAGACATATATTGTATATCAATACATATAAAACTCAGGTACAATTACAACAGGTAATTAAAATCCGGAACTTTCAGAACAACAACATTACTGTATATGATGCATTGTGTTTATTTATTGATATTTTGGACAATGTAACACAATTAACAAAGGAAAACAACTTTTGACTCGTGCCCTGTCCGGGTCTCGAACTCACGATCTACGGCACCAAATTTTCAGTTGTCGGGATATCTATTTACAGTTTTATACCATATCGTGATAAATATAATATATTAGTATTATACAGTGTGAATGATATAGCTCTATGAGAAACAGTAATAAAATGTATCAATAATTCTACAAGTTAGTATCTATATAATACCTCGTCTAGTTTTATTGTCCGTCGAAGTACCAGAGGGCGGTAATCCTTCTGGAACACCTGGTTTTATTATCTTGGTTTTTTTATGGATCATCTTATAAACTTATAAACCTTTGATTATAGTTTGAAGTATAATTTCTTCCTTATTCCATGTTCTACACTGTAGTTTATCTTTGTAGTAAGATACATAGCGTATCATGACGTCAAGTCTCCCCGATATTGCTCGTCTCATTAAAATTCTGTTTGAAATGAAATATTCGTAGGTACTTTCTTTCGTGGCTTAAATTGCGTTTAATGTATCATTTTTAAGAGTAAAAGTTCTAAACATACTGAATGATAATATCCATTTTTAATCCAAAGTCTTATTCGGTATACTTGATCTATGTAGCTTGTATATAACCAGGAAAACGTTCCATATTGTACAGTAATGTCCTTGAGAACGTGCACCTGATAGCCATACAGGATTTTTTTTTTACTTGTGTTTGTTAGCGTACGTTATGTCATGAAAGGATTACTTTGAAAACGACAAAACCACAACACACGAGACGTACGGCAAAACATATTTCTACTATTGTTTACAATAGTTGTTGATAATTAACATAACTGGTGTCATTCAGTGATGTATGATAGGTATAACATATGTATAGTGGTAAAATGACGTGTAAAAAAGTCTGGAAACAAAAATCCGAAGTTACGTAATTTTTGGTACATCATTCACCTTGAATTATTTGTAAAAAAAACTCCCAAAAACTGATCAACGCCCCCTATCGGTAAATGCACAGAACTAATATAGATAATCTTGATTATTTTCCATTAATCAATTCGTCGTATTTTTGAACATACGAATGTAGCTAAGTTATAAGGCACGTTGATATAAATTCTGCCTTTGTAAAGAAAATCTATGTACAAACTGATCATAAAAATCATTATTAAAATAGCTGAGATAATTTCACCAGGAATGATGAGGGGATAAATGTCCATAAGGACAGGAAACACCAGAGTTACCCGACATTTTCGTGAGCCACTCAACCCGACATTTCCGGGAGCTCATTGTAACTGGACCTCTTCGGCAGCTCACTGTAACGCGAACTTTTCGGGAGCTAAATGTAACCCAGAGATAGTTTCATATGCAGCGATCATATGACAGGTTTAAAAATATCCAGATATAGAGTCTGTGTTGTGGCGTTAAAGTAGATATATGTACTAACGTTTGATGACATCATGGTTTATTTGTTAATCAAATATATATATATATATATCAGTAGTAAGGGGCAATCACACGGTGGTAGGAGACTATCACACAGTGTTAAGGGACCATTGTACAGCGGTAAGGGACTATCACAGCGGTAAGGGACTATCACAGCGGTAAGGGACTATCACAGCGGTAAGGGACTATCACTGCGGTAAGAGACTATCAAACATTTGTAAGGAACTGTCACACTGTTGTAAGAACTTTTCAATACCAAGTTAAGAAATTAAATGCATCTGCAGAACTCGTAACAGAACAGAGCCTAAATTTTGAAGCCCTGAGGCGTCTGATGATATAAAAATTTCACGAGAGAAATGTCAAAATCTAAATGGAGGAATTAGTCAAATAACCTGCTTGTATTGATTTACATATATATGATTTATTTCAAAAGATCCTCAAACACATATGTATACTCTGGACCGAGTCATTTTTCGAATGAATTAAAAGGAAGCAATCAGATTACGGCAAACCTTTGGAACTTAAAATCCACAAGCAGTGTCTACCACCTGCATTCTCGAAGATTTTACAAATAACACACATTCAGATTTAGATACATCAGTAGCCAACATGACGGCGTTACTGTCGGAGCCAACATGGCGGCGTTATTGTCAGAGCCAACATGACAGCGTTACTGTCAAGCATGGATGCTGTCAGAGCCAACATGAAATTTTGTCAGAACCAACATGACGGCGAGAGAGAACATGGCGGCGAAAACCAACATGACTGGAATGTAAAATATCGGTGTGATATGAACTGTGACTTCAACATGGCGGCGTTTTGTCAGAGCCAAGATGACGGCAGAAATTTGTTCAGCGCCGACAAGGCGGCGTTATTGTCAGTGGCATCATGGCGGCGTTACTGTCAGAGCCAACATGGCGGCGTTATTGTCAGAGCCAACATGACGGCGTTACTGTCAGAGCCAACATGGCGGCGTTACTGTCAGAGCCAACATGGCGGCGTTATTGTCAGAGCCAAGATGACGGCGTTACTGTCAGCGCCGACAAGGCGGCGTTATTGTCAGTGGCATCATGGCGGCGTTACTGTCAGAGCCAACATGGCGGCGTTATTGTCAGAGCCAACATGACGGCGTTACTGTCAGAGCCGAAATGGCGGCGTTACTGTCAGAGCCAACAGCGCCGACAAAAGATACACCTGTCCAAACGCTAATTTGTATATATCATAAACTGGATTTAATTTCATTTATTATAAAATAAAAAAAGCAACAGGCTGTTAAGAAAATGCCACTAGAACGTGAGGTCTTCATGAAACATAATCCCTTTTTAGATTCCTCCTTGGGACTCGTTTATATCAGACGTCGGAATCTCTTGCCAAAACCTATAAACTCTATTCTGGACATTAAGTGAGGTGGGCCTACCTCCTACCCTGATGTCTCGCACAAAAATACGATGGCATGCGTTTCCATAGTAGCACACAGCACTAGCTTAGACATTTTTCTTTTCAGAAATGCAAAACTTCGGATGACCAGCCATTTTGAAATACACGCAAACGATGTCACGTGGTCGAGGCTTTCTACACATTTAATGGCTATAGCAAGGGATTCCGACGAGGAACATTGTCAAACGTCCGAAATAAATAAGTCTCAATTAGGAATTCCAAAAGAAATTACATTACCTTTAAATACAGTGTTCCAGCATGTACGTCTATTGTACACTTTGTTTAGTAGTTCTTTATAAGGTACCCATAGCTTCAATCAAAAATTCCCTGTCAAATAAAATTAACCCAATGCAAAATTAACAAGGCAGACAAAGGGAGACAACCTCTCCATACATACATGTAAACACTACACAAAATTACACCAATTACACGTTCAGGGTTTGATAAAATGAAAAGATTACATTATATCGATGTAATCAATTGCAAAAACAGAATGCGCGTAATATTTGGAGTCAATAAGTAAAACTTCAATTTTGTTACTAAATATTATGTAACGTAGTGGTAGAACAGTGGTATACTATCGGCTATCGACTGCAAAGGTCCATGGATCGGTACCCCTTGAATTCGTTTTTTTTTTCGGGGGTTGGTTTATTCATATTTTACTTGAAAGGTTCTTTTTCTTCCGCCTTTTGAGAAATCTACATGTGTTAGCATAAAACAAATACTGCCACGATCACATATTGCCATATTACATATGTCTATGTAAAAAAACAATGTGAATGACATAGCCCTGGCATTCAAACTTAATGTTCCTAAATACTACAACAGGATGCAATTTACATTGATTAACTACCCTGCTGCAATCACGCATTTATATTAACAGCATGCACCGTAAATAATGGAAATAAATATCATAGAATATAGCCACCGATCCTCACGTAAACTACGTATTATAAAAAGTAATTAACAAAGACTAGAAAGGTTAGTTTCTAAATTGCCGGTGATTGGAATACAAGAACTGCATATTTACGTATTATCTTTTCATTTTCTATTAAACATTTTTTATGATTTTTACAACGCAGTAAAATGATAACATGGACTTGTTAATATTTCATTTCATAATGTGTGACCAGCCAGTAAGAAATGCTTAAACCCAGGATGAGCATTCAGCATTCTTAAATTTAGAAGTCACCGACGACAGAAAATTTCGTACATACGAGAGAGAAAGACATAAAAAAAAAAAAAAAAAACAATGATCGAAGACACAGGGACTTGGCACGAATTTCTAAATCTGCAGTTCGTATATATGTATAATATTAACACAGGAATTTGTCACGAATGTCCAACACTTGGTCAATATATATGTATAATAGTGACGCGAATTCCCAAACCACAGTCAATAGATATGTGTGTAGTGACAGAAGACTTTGTCATAAATTGTCATAAACTCGAGGTAAATATATATGTATTATAATGACAAGGATTGTAACTCCCGAGAAGCGAAAACTGAACATATTTTTTTTTTAAACTGTGTTTTTTTATGTTCTTATGGTCGTATATCTTAGTAACACATACAGATATGATGCACATTACTTTTAAGAGAATACTTTATTTTTCCAATGCGTGCTTGATGAACGAAATTGGTCTAAATTCGGAGAAACATCTATATTTAGAAATGGTTAAGTAGACATTTCCCTGTCCGGTTTAAATGTCCGGTTGTATCTATTTCAAGCTCATGGTGATATGCAGTACCCATGACCGTGTCCACACAGTCATTTTGTGATGTCATGTCACGTACGTTGTAGACATTCCATATTTACATCACAGAACTCATATTCATCAACAGCAGCCGCCATCTTTTTCATTTTGTCGGGGGTAATAGATGTACGCCGAACTTGAGCTCGACCCCGCCCCAAAAACGCCAGTCTGAGGTCATAATATATAATTCTTATTTTGAGAACGAAAAACCAAACAGATCTACAATTTTCTTGAATCTTTCGGAAGATCTGGTCTTATTCTCCTTGTATTTTTTTTCAGAACTCTCACTGTTTGTCAATCTTTTATTCATACTTACCTCTGGTTTTATTGAACTTGAGGTTGGATAAGGAGTCTAGTCACATAGTGGTGTTGTCTTCCTGTTTTGATGTTAAGATGTCACCAGTTGAATTGTTTTACAACATGTGTATTTCGACAAGTTCGGTCATTGAAATGGAATTATCTCAGCTGTATTGTGTGACGATTATTACATGGAAAATCACAAATAAATGTTGACTCGAGTGCCTACGATCTAGCTGGAGTTGTCTCTCTTGTTCTGAGCATTGTATTACGCAAGCTCTCGGACAAGCATTGGTACAGATTGAAAATATCTTAACAATATTTATACTTGTAATACCTTGTCGATAATCTTATTTGAACAAAAAAAAAAAAAAATCCTTTGAAGCGGATATATCTAAAAACAAATCATTCTGGATTATCATCTGTTACAACGATCATTTGTATTGTGGATGTGCGTAGGGCTTAAAAACGAAACAGATTATATCACTTCGCCAGAAGTGAAAACTTCCATTAAAAGAGTAAACTGGTGGGCGTAGCAAGGAAAAAGTGATTTGTAATGGATAAGAGAAAAATTAGAATATAGCTTTAAGAATATATAGTCGAGAAATGTTTAGACAGATCTTTTTGATTTCTAGTGGTTTGTGATAAGTGACTGATTTTTAATTCTTATGAATAAACAATCTTCGTTGACATTTTTGAACTAAAACTCTGTACACATCTATTTCAATTTCAATATTTTTTGTTCATATATTTAATTGGTTTTATTCAATTCCTGATCTGAAAATGATTGTGTTGACATGTTACATTTTTAAAGATTGTTTTTAACATCCATGTACGCAAATACTTTTCGAATGACACAGAACACGAAATATCCAAATTTTGTTTTCGTTTTGCCTACATTCATAGCACATTTGTAAACAATATTCTATTTTTCAATGAGAAACCTAGATTCTTTTACCAGTGTACGTTATTATCTTGTAGAGAACTTTTAATACTTTTTGCGTTTTATGGAAGCGATCATTGCATAATGGAAATATTTGATGAAACCAAAGACGACGAAAACTACAAATTATCTTTAAAAGTGAAATTACTTTTATTGTTAGAATTATATGCATATATGTGTACATAATACAAGATGTGAGTATAAAAACTGAACAAGTTAACGAGCGAATTAAATACATAAGACATGAATAAGAAAAGATTTACCAAATACATGAATGTGTAAGGTCAGAACAGTTGTATATTTTATAGTGAAATGTATTATTATGATATACCGTTGAAATTCCAACATGCAGAAAATCTGTTTCTTAAAATATACTAGTTATATCTCAAAAAACACTTGAATCCCCATCTTTTCATCCGTATTGCTGTTATTTGATGAAATACAAAATTCTACAAAATTTTGAATGTGCTCCTTGTCATAACATCTACGGCTTGGTGTCACAGGGGTTCGACTCACTTTCCCAGTTACAAATCAGAAGTATTTTATCAAAGACTAAACCACCACAGCTCATGGGTGTTTCAACTTCGTTGACACACATAATATATTTGTGGCAGTCATTTGGATCCGGAAGCAGTGTCCCGGTGCTTTTGTCAACACATGGTGCCACTTCTTCGTCTTCGTCAACCTCGACGACGCTACAATCTCCGTGCAGACATGCGGTTTTGGACTGGTCCCATATGGTGCCAGTAGGACACGACCTTTTTATCGGGACTTTGTTAGAACACTGATAATAAGCGGTGCAATCTTTATCATCCGGCAAAAACGCTCCATTGTTGTCAAGTGTACAGAGGGATACAACCTCATCTTCTCCAGTCACTAAAATCACAAACGACTGACGTGTTTAAGTTAAAGGAATTGTACTGCATATTGATAACAATAAAATGTTGGTACATCTAACATAAGATCAGCAGTTTCGTGTAAAACATTCAAGAGACGTCATAATCCTGTACTCTGTTACTAAAAAGCTGTTTTACATACACGATATACATAAAATGTACCACGTATATAGAAATTCTTCTATCACTTTTATAACAATGTTTCAGAAACGTTTTTTAAAACTATATGTTATCGATTGTAAATGCTTGCATATATTTTGTTCACAAATGGAAACTCTACACGCGTATTATTGAAAAGACATCGTTCAGTGTTTCGTTAAAATGGTATATAACTTGTACGTCGTAATATCATATAATGTATTTACTATTTATGTAAGTATTTCATATTGTACGCTAGCAATCTTTATTTCGTATTATTTCTTAATTAATCTCTTTCTGACCGAATTTTTGTACAATGATATGTTAATTTGTGTAATCTACAAAATGTACGTGGCGAAAGGACTATTATATCAAATACACGTAATAAACAATCCTTTAGATTAACGCTAATGATATTTTCATGATTTTTTAAAGGAATCGTGTTGCTGTGTTATAAGCACGTGCGTCTGATACGAACCTCCACAATTCCCCTGGACACAGACACCTTTTTCGTCATCAAAGTGAAGGCCTACCGGACATGGCATCACTACAGGCTTTGGGTTTGTGTCACATCTCACGTACTCGCCACAGTTTCTCGGCAAGGAAGATCTGGGCTGATCAGTATCGGTACAGACTTTATCTGCAAATAAACAAAATCAAATAGGTGATGTCTTTTTTTTCGTTTCCGTTATATTTTTAATGTAAAAAATACCATATTCCCGTTGTTTTTTTTCGTGGAACGGCACGTTTCTTCGGCACTGTCAAAGCATCTGACGTAAACAGATGTCGTCGTTGAAACAGAAGGCGCATACCCTTTTGGAACATCTGGTGTTATGTTTGTACTTTTCTTTTCAGAGGTCTCTGTAATGCTTTCGTTTGTTTATACTTTGTCATATTTTCAACGAATTTGGAATTGAATTACGTTTGAATTAACTGCTTAACAGGATAGGTATGAATAAAACAAAATCCTATAAATTAAACTTATAACCCAATTTAGTTTCATTCGGGATTTGTCATGAACGAAACGAAATGCTAGGTCTTTCTTTCAAAAGCGTTGCGTTTCCCTAAAAATCTTACTTCAGAAATCACAAGTAACACGATGCCATATAGTGTGTACCTAGACATGTTCCTTCGTAGCAATCTTTTTTATCAGTATTCGTGTTGCTTCCAACGCAAGGAGCACCGCCGTATTGGGCTGCAGGACATCCACAGACTCTGGTTTGTGTCCCTGTCTGATTACATTGTTCTGAACATGACGTCCATGCGAGTTCGTTAAACTCGCACCAAGCACCATCGACTAAAAAATAAAGGAGAATAATGAAGTGGATATATTTTAATATTCGTTACGGTATGCATGAGGTTTCTTTCTTCACAAAGCGATGTTTAGTTAGAGACTTTTTACTCAAAATTAATCTTCCGCGATGTAATCAGTAACGATTGTTGCCGTACCAATGTATGTAATAATTTCCTAGACAACCATTATCTATTCTGAAAATAATGATGTAATAATCGAAAGGAAAAAATAACGAAAACGTCCTTATTTGACATAAATACGGTTTTTTTCAAGAACCTTGAAATGGCGTGAATCGTTTACAGAGGTGCTATGTTTGGAACCGCAATGCACTCTGGGAAAATTAAAATTCGTTTACAGGACATGCACATATTGCTATTACGTCCTTATTATTTATAACCAATTAGATTAAACTTATTTCTGAAATAGAGGACAATTTTTTATGTTCGAATGCAGTCGTTAACAATTTTTTGGATTAAAAATATTGAACAAATGATCGTCAGTGCTGTACTCCTCCACACATGTTTTATATTTTTTGAAACCTGTTTTGGAATTACTAATGCTACATCTTTCAAATCACTTAACAACACAATGTAAATTATACTATTCTTACTTGGACAAGGATCACTATTGCAGGTTTCCGTCTTAGATTCCATGTCAACCCCTTCACAGGCTTCCCCACCATATTGTGGCGAAGGGTTCGTGCATGTTCGCGATCTAGATAATGATCGCTCCCCACCTCCACAGGAAACAGAACATACCGTTTCCTCCCAGTCTCCAAATTCGGTCCATCCTCCGTCAACTGAACAAAAATCAAATCATTGCACTTTTAAAAATCAAGTTATGAACAGAAAATATAATCAGTTAAAGGAGAGATAAACAGCATGACGCTGCGCACCTAAGACGTAAGCATTATATTGCCACTGTATAGAGAATAAGCACGATAAATACGTATTATTTTCCAACAATTCTTATAACACTATATATAGAATTTAATTACTTGGACAAGGGTAACTGTTGCATGTCTCCTTCTTGGACTCTGTATCGTCGCCCTCGCAGGCTTTCCCACCATGTTGTGGAGACGGGTTCGTGCATGTTCGCGATCTGGATAATGATCGCTCCCCGCCACCACAGGGAACGGAGCACGCTGTTTCCTTCCAATCACCAAATTCAGTCCACCCTCCGTCAACTGCAAAATTATTGCACTTTTAAAGATTAAGTTATGAACAGAAAATCAAATAAAGGACAGAAAATTAGCATGAAGCTGCGCACCTGAGATGTAAGGACAATGCTGCCACATACGCTGTAAGGAGAATAAACCCGAAATAAATAAATATTTGTTATTTATTATTTCCAACACATCTAATGACACTTTATATAGAATTTGATTACTTGGACAAGGGTAACTGTTGCATGACTCCTTCTTGGACTCCGTATCGTCCCCTTCGCAGGCTTTCCCACCATATTGTGGCGAAGGGTTCGTGCATGTTCGTGATCTGGATAATGATCGCTCCCCACCACCACAAGCAGCTGAGCAAGCAGCTGCCTCCCACTCGCCAAATTCAGTCCATCCTCCGTCAACTAGAAAATGAATCCATGATTAGTTTTTACGAAGAAGAAGACGACAAGACTTCAACAGCAGAGAATGCCTGACGTTATGATAAAATATGAACAAAAAAAGGAAAGAAAAACATCGGAAAACAAGAGCAGTCAATACGATAAAAACATCTTCATCTTACTTATGAATGTAACTTTAGATTAAGATTGTATGATAATATGATTTTAGAAGGTAACTATTACCTGGACATGGTTGCGTGTTACAAGAAACCGTCTTTGACTCCGTTGCACTACCAGAACAATCCTTTCCACCATTTGCTGGGGACGGGTTGGTGCAGGTCCGTGACCTAGAGACAGTGTTGAACCCTCCACCGCAGGGAACATTACATTGACTCGTGCCAACCCATGCCGTATAATCACTCCAGCCACCGTCCACTATAAAATATTTACAGTCAACATTACAACAACATCTCTTATGTCTTATATTAAAATTAACATAAAGCAGGCTATTTGTATTATAAAGAATTAAAAAAAAATCCTTGATTATAGGGCAAAAGAAGCCCTAATGTAACAGCACCTATGACCATCAAATACATTATATTGACACGATGTCGTCTGACAGGTGATACTTTGTAAGTAGTATTAAGCATATATTCTTTAAATCGTTAGATTATGTGTTGCTGTGAACAGAACTAATCGTACATAACTGAAATTAAGTCTTCATATTGATGTAGCCATTCACCGGAGCTTTTTTAATACATGTTATCAGAAAGCGATGATTATCATTCACCCGAGATAACAGGAAATCATACAGGCATAAATGATGAAGTTATTATTGAAGTAAGTGTTCAAAAAAGTGGTTAAATATTTACCACACTGGCATATCTTGGTCTCTGAAACTGTCCTGTTGTATGCAGAAAAGATAATATAAAAATGAATAGAGACAAAACCAGAATTGCTGGTGCTCGATTGTCATGTTGACACTGTAGACAAACTGATGTTTTATAATGATAGAATATTAATGAGTGTAACCTCTACGTAAACATTGTAAGCTGTATCAAGCATCACAGACTTGAGTTAAACACAAGATAAGACCCAAAAAGATATCAAACACCTCAGACCTAAATTAAACTCTTTAAACTCCAAAAGACTTGAATTTAAACACAGATTTATATCTTTAATGTATCAAACACCACAGGTTTGAGTTAAACACAGGTTAATGACATAAACGGTGGCGTAAATATGGCAACTTATAATTTTACAATATTTAAAGCCAGAATAAAAAAATTGTTAATACCTCTTATATATATAGAAATACATACATCAAAAATCTTCTAAACTTATTGAAGTTAAACGTTTTTGATTATTTTTACCGTGTGCAACGACTCAAGCCCCAAAACCCGCAGCTGTATGAGGTCTGTCTGTATGTGATACCGCATGGACAACTGTCGAAATTAAAGAAACGAAAGTTATGTGTAATGACATAATATCAGTACTACCAAATAGGTTAAGAGATTACCTCCTTATTCAGCAAAGCAATCTATATTTAACTTTTTTTCATTCTGAAACAATTTTCACGATTTATCAGGCGAAAAATTCTATATTTTAACAGATAATTGTACATTGTCATTTCAATAAAATATACAGAATCTGAAACCCTTCTGTCGTCACCCTAAACATTTTTATTCTGAAATGATATACATGAAAGGAGATAAAACATCACATAGATTTATTAAATGATTTACGATTGAAAATGTATATTAAATTCACCTGATCGTTCCATTCCACTGTTGAAATAAGACTTTCAATTTTGATAGAGAAAAATACTATAAATCTAAACGATCTTTTCCTTACAATGCTTTGTGTTATATCTTTACAGATTCACATTGTTTTGTCAAGTGTATGATGAGATATGTTACCAATAAAACAAACCTGTATGACGCGGCTTTCGTTAATTGCAATAGACAGAGCGCAACACAAAGCCTTGCCAGTCGAAACATCCTCAGCTCCGACATGTTCAATATTTCAAAATCATCTGCAAAAATATCTCACTTAGATATGTAATTTCATTATATATGGCATTCTAGTACCTTTAAATAGTTTTAATAAAGAATGATTCCATTTGAAAAATGGCATTTGTTCGAACATCTTGTTTGAAGAAATCTCCAATTTCCCATTCGAAAAATATTTGTTATTCAAAATATTTACTATAATACCAAGAAATATGATTAAAATGAAAAGTTCTGAGGAAAACAAATAGCTGAACAACAATCTACTAAGCTCATAAAATATTGACTGAATAGTGGCAAAAGTTCAAGTAATGAAAACGGCGAATAGGTATGTAAAAATCACACAATAATGTGGATATCCCGGTCATGTATTGTAGGGTATTCTAATACAAGACAGGATTGATTGACCTTAATTTCGCAAAGCATTTGATTGTCATACACGGTCAAGTTATCGGATTATAAGTAGAATTTATGGTTGAATGTAATATGATAGTGATGACCATTTAACAGCTCCTACGGACTCTTGTTGAAGTGTGTGTCAAAGCGATCACTCCGTTATGTTATTTTGTTGTTCTTTCTGTCCCGCTGATAATAATATTTGAACAGCTTCTTATTCGTTTAAACATAAATGATTTGCTGTCAATATTAACACAACTCACGTTTCTTATAGCTGACAACATAACCGATAATGTCAGACATGACCTGATTTTCTTCTCAAGATCTGTAGAAAGTCTTTTCTTTTATACAGATTACAGCAAACTGAAAAAAAACAAACCGAATTTATCATTTTATGTGAATTTAACGTATTCATGGAGGAAAAGTAGATTATCCTTTCAGCGCTCATTGTTATAGACTACGTAAATGGAAGAAAGGCCGAAGTTAATATTTTCACTGTAAATTCATATACTACCTTTTCGACATTAATGTATATAGTACTCTTTGAGAAGTATAAACAATATACCACTCAACAGAGAAAAAAGTTGTATAGATAACCAACACAGAAAAAATAACGTTATGCTAACGCTAGCTTAATTTTCTTCTGTGTTGTTTGTAGATACAGCTGATGGACGTCCAGTCACCACGCTTTGCCGTGGTTTCTTTGCAATGTTTTAATTGAATGGAATAGTGTCACGGTTAAGAATATTACACATATACCTGAAAATTACCAGATATATGAAAATAACGAAAATCATTGAATTATTAGGGTAAGTTGTATACTTTTGAGAACGTGACATTTCTTTGTTGGATTGACCAAGAATATCAGTTGACCTACTTTGTGCTTTGATCCTAGCGTAAACAGTAAGGGTTACTGATATGATTTAAAACTTAATTAAATATGATAAAACAAGCATTTTCAATACATATACCAATGTTTGTCAATAAACATCAATCAAATATTATCAATAGTCATGTAAGCTAACATATGGAATCTTTGGCTGAACCCATCTCAAGAGGAAGTACTGATCAGGACAATATCCAAGGCTCTAAAATTAGGTAGTGACTGTGACACTTTTACAAATGTTACACAACCAATATGTATTAAATTAAATATCCGCTATGATGTGTCTTGACAAAAGTGTAAGAGAATTTTTAACCTTCTCCTGTTTTGTCAGGATGTGACCTCAGGTTTAACATAAAGCACAATAAATGAATGAAAATCGTTCGGCTTGTATTACACACATGTAAAGACAGTAGTTGAAATAAATACTTAGCTCTGGCTGTGGAATTTTCTGCTCTGATGATTCAATCCCAGTAAGACAGGAATAATGTAAACAGTTGTATCAATATATCTAAACTGGATCTACGATCACAAAACTTTATCAGTGTTCACGTCATCTTTCTTTGTACTTTCCTACAAAATATCAACAAAGCCAGACTCTGATTTCTTTCTTCACCAATCGTGCAACAACAATTGCATGTCTGGTGCACAAAAAAATCTACCGATAGTATAAAGTTTCTGGCTTTCCAGATACCTAATTACATACAAAATCTTGCACTAAAACAGGTGAGGAAATGTTGTGTATATTTGTAAGGAATTGTGTTTAAGTTAATGAAGTTGGATCGTTTTTGTATGTTATTCTGTGTGTTGCTGTATGACGTTGTGTACTACTCTGTGTTGATATGTTGCTTTGTATATTACTTTGTGTTATGTTGTATGATTTTGGGTACTACTTTGTGTTGATATGTGATTTTGTATACCACGCTTAGTAAAAATATGGTTTTGTGTAATACTCCGTGTTGATATGTGATTTTGTATAATACTATGTGTCATTCGTTTGCTTTGTGAACTACTCTGTGTAGTTGTATGCTGTTGTGTTGTACTCTGTGTTGCTGATTGATTTTGTGTACATTTAATAAAAGTATGGTTTTGTGTACTAATCTGTGTAAAAGTATAGTTTTATGTACTAATCTGTGTAATTGAAAGGTTTTGTGTAGTGCTGTGTGTAATTGAAAGGTTTTGTGTAGTGCTGTGTGTAATTGAAAGGTTTTGTGTAGTGCTGTGTGTAATTGAAAGGTTTTGTGTAGTGCTGTGTGTAATTGAAAGGTAATCATTAGGGTAGATATGTGAATTCCATGTCGTGAAGTGTTAAATGAAATTACTTTCTGTCTTTCTTTTGTTCATATTTTTTTCAAGTTTTTTGGCCTAGTTTAATGAAATTCGATTTTGGTTTACAATGATGTTGACACGTTGGTATTTTTGTTGTTGTTTGTTTGCCCCAGGTTTATCTAGTTTTATGGAACTCGAGTTTGGATTATGATTATGGTGACATGTTATTCTTGATGATAGAGAATCAATGTGCTTACATGATCCTCGGTTAAAAATGCTTTATGCAAATTATGATCTCGATGTAACAATATCCATACTGATACAGTGACGATAATTACCATTATCAGTGTACTTATTGCAGTAATTGTGTCATCTATGAACGTTATCCATATATTATGATATTACTATTTTTCGCTTGTGCGATGAGGGTTTGGTTGTGCGTGGTGATCGTTAGTAATCCTTGCTGTACCGTTGTAGTTATTCTTATACTAATTTGGACGCAAGACATTAGGAAAATACTTATTTGTATTGATCAAGATTTATTTTGCTTATTTTTGTTTTCGATATCGCTGTATGTCGGTATGGAGATGAGAGGAGGCGGAGCTTGTAAAACGACAGACGCAATGATGACGCAAAAGACAATAAAAAAAAAAACCAGAAAATTTTCTCACATTTTTTTCTCACAGTATTCGCCCAATCCTAATGTCTTGATAATGAATGTTGATGGTAAAATTAAAAACTAATGACCTTACGATGACACAAAAGGGAAAACATTAGCAATCGTTAATCCCTTGATCTCACCTTGATCCATCGATTTTACCACCAACGGTCGTTAACTCGGAACAAAACTGTCGCAATTGACCCGATATTCAGAGACCTGTTCACATTATCACGATTTTCGTGCAAGAAGTCGTCAAGTGACGCACAAACTCGTAACACATGGATTCAAAAGATGGAAGTTGATTAGAAGTACGGGGAAGTTTCATAGTCGACATAGTGATCTCTTTGAAAAATATTCTATTTCTTTGTGCGACTTGAAGCTAGACGCGTTAGATGCTTGTTAGTTTGCTTGTTGGTTCGGTGGTTGATTACATTGTTCTTCTTTGAGAACATGACATTATTCACAACGGTCGAACAAGAATAACATGGCGGGTGTCGTCATCTTATCTTATTCTCCTTGTGCTATTTTAGGAGTCTTCGTGTTAATCTTTCTTTTGTTATATCTTGCACTAGTGTCATTGAATTTGACTTGTTAGCATTTTCTCGTGTAATTTAGCTTGGTTGTTACAAACCTAGATCCGAAAAAAAATATACATTTATCAGAATTTATTGTTTTGATATCGAGGTATTGAGACATCAGACATAAAATGGAAGGTCACAATCACAACATTTACACGTTTTTAAATGAGTTTGGATGCTCGTACTGAATGTGTACGACACCATCTGCACTTGAAACCCGAATCTGACAGATAGACTAGCGCTGTGAGGTACACGTCGAATTGTAGGGCGGTAAGCACGCCTGGTCTACTCGACAATTGAATTCTGGTTCGAGTTTTAGATCCGTAAACAGATAGTGGGAAAGTTTCTGTTATAGTCATCTATATGTCGATCCTAAAGGAGATAAAATTTTAAGCCATTTTTTTTTTCATGTCGAAGCCAGTATTTATATAACACTGTAAAAGTGTAATAATACAAACGTATTATAACCGCTGGATGTAAAACATCTAACAAAAAGTTTCTACGTAAACGAACACGAATAAAAAAACTGAATTCCCAATAATATACGTTTCAATATGCAATATGTGTAGTTATCAATAACAATAAGCAGGGCCTTCCATTGCTCCTTTAGTGATATATTTTACTGATAAGTCGAGCAGTCTTATCTATATCTACATATATCATTGGCACAATCACAGTCAACACTGTAAATACTAAGTAAGTGTTAACGTCGGTGTTTAGTCTGAATGTAAATGATATGTATATGCTATACTGTATAGGTTCAAACGCTTCATGGATAACAAATAGGTATAAACAGAACGAGGCTTCGTGTCCTGTTTCTGGCTGGGTATAAAAGGAAGACAAAATACCGCATTGTTTATCAATAATTACTTTACTTACGATGCAGAACCCATGTGCAAAATAAGAGGCGGGCGTTTATCATCTGTGTAAATCACTAGAAATTGTATATATTCCTTATCATATGTGTTGATTGAGTTATATAACTACTAGGTAAGCATTTATTCCTGCAAAACACACTTTAATCAATATATAATATCAGACTCTCAGCTAAACGTTACACTCCGGCTAATTTATCTATATGCACAACACAAGTTTTTTTTATGTTTTACATCTACCAAATGGCGACTGAAAAGCTATGAACAAAAATCAATATTTGAGGTCAAATACAAAACAAATACCAATCTTGAGTTTACACGGACGCGCAACTTGACCGTTTGCA